CTTAACCCTATGATCCTTTTTCTCCTCCCCAGGCTCCCATAAGAAATCTCTCATCAACTTTTCCAACTTGTCAGCCACCCTTGCAGGTCTAGAACAAAGTGGTCATTCCCCTTGTTCCTGTTATCTTGGTATTAGGACAGATGATATTCATGGTCTTGAAATAGACCTTGTAGACTAACGCTACATTCTCTGATCCTGGTTTCATATCGAAACCTTGGGTTTGCAACCTAAGGGTTAAGGCTTCATGTACCCTAGGGTCCGTTAGTGACACCAAAAAATTAAGGAAAGTATTAAAATAAATAGGTCCTTGATGGAGACTTCCTTCTATGACTCCTAATAAGGAATCGCTAAACTTATTATGTCTCGAATCCGTTAAACAAGCTAAAGCAGTTGTTTGAAGACCTAACCTGGTTAAGGGTTTTATGGCTACTTGTATTAGGCCAAAATGTATAAAATGTCAGTCAGCTTTTTTCTTGTAGGTTTCTATTACTCTTTTATCTATAAGAGGGAAGCTTTCTGAGTCATCACCTATAGCGACCGTCCTTTCTGTAGTCCTTACATTAAGGTATGTTTTTAGGCTAAAGACTCCTTTCTTATAGATTTCAGAGGGTGCAATTTTAGGTATAGTCCAGTTTTGCAAAGATTTTTCCATATTGCTATAATTTACTTCTTCCATATTTTTTATTAACATTGTCTTGGTGAGGGAAGAATTGATACTACTCTCGTGAGGGTTCTCTTCTATACTGGAGGTTGTCCTAAATAGCTTCTTCATCTTATCCTTTCACTTTACTGAATAGCGGTCAGTTAACTTTAACGACCTTTAACGACCTATGGCTCAAGGGTTCTAGCCTTGGTGAAATTGGTAGGTGTCTAGGCTGTCCAACTTGGGTGATAGCCAAGTGATATCTCCGAAGAGCTACATTCTTGGGTTCTAGCCAAGGGTTCTAGGAAGTATCAAGTTAAGAAGATATCTGAATAAGAGCTACATTCTTATCCTTGACCAAGCATAGTCTGGGCTTTAGGAGGAGGAGGGTGAATAGAGATCATTGGCTCTGATACCAAAATAGAGATGAATAGTAAATGAACAGTAGAGGTGATGCAGAGTGGTATGGAGAATCAATATGCTATGCAGGTACAATATTGAAGATAAAAAATGATAGACAATATTAAAAACGAAATATAATTCACTTACAGAAAGAGGATGAAAATACTTTGAATATAGCACTCTTAAAACACTCAGAAGGAAAATTACAAATCTTACAAACACTCAGAAAAACACTCAAACAATAAGACTACTGGTACTTGAAGTTGGTGCATATGAAAATATTGCACATTTGAGAATTGGGAGAAGGGTTCCTTTTATAGAGGCTGCCAAGGATTCTAGAGAAAGGCAGAAGGGAACCACTTTATCCTGAAGACCTTTATGATTAAGATTCATTTTGGACTTGTCTTTCGAGCATCTAAATAATTGAGATGCTTTCTTATCTTTTCTTTTGTCCTATGAGGACCAGATAGAGATGCATTCTCATTAGTGGGTTACTTTTTACTATTGATGATAGGAAAGAATCTCTCAATAGTACTTTCTTCAATAATTGACCTTAGTACGGGCTCAGAGACTGTATGTTTTCTGTTTCCACATCCTTCGCGATTTCCCTACTTTTTTCTTTCATCTTTTCCACAAAATGAAGAGATATCTCTTCCAGATCAAGTGAGGTCCAGGTTTGGGAATTTGCTACGAAGTTTATCGATGAGACTCAAAGAGAAGCTTGGAAGACTGTCTTCTTCTATAGATGGCTTCAAGGTTGCCGAGAGATCAAATTTGTCCCACCATTTGATCTCAATAGTTCTGTCAATCGCTGGAGGCATCCATGAAACATACAAATGATAACTCAATTTTAGGATCCATGGGAGCCGAAAAGTTTTGAAGAATTCGAACTGTTTAATATGGTCAAATTCTAGATAAGATCTTCCTTTCCCAAAAGTTCTACACTTATAAGCTCTTGCTGGGGAAAGATGTCGTTTGATGCTCCCCAAGAAGTCCACCAAACATAGGCCCAATCTGGATATGGACCTTGAAAATCTTCAGAAAACCTGATGAACCAAGAGTGTCTAAAAACAGAGTTTAAGAAAACCTTATACCAAGCATCTTGGTAATCCCAATAATTGAACATATTGGTTCTTTTGTCAATGGGCTTGGTGATAAATCTGGGTTTATTGAATCACCCCAGGCTGCTTTTGTCAAAAATTTTACTATCACCAGCTTTGAATAATCTAGTTCTATCTTATTGGGTTCTCGGTAGTAGTGCTGAATTCTTGTAGATCCCGTATGCAAAAGGATTTCTTCATAATATTTCTGGTCTTTATTTAGACTATAGACTGTGAAATGATGGTTGTCGAGAATAGTGAGGGCCAGATGTTGTAGGGCCCCTTCTAGGTTGGCATGAGAGGAGACTGAGGATGCTTCCTCTCGGGAAACTGTTACCACAAAACCGGTGGAGTTGGTGATGTACTGGCTTGAATTAGCCTCGTCGAATGCCGGAGAAGGATCCCTTATTAAGGGAGAAATAGAGGGGGACTGATTAGTCCTAGAACTTGATCCGATCTGATAAGATCTTGGATTGGACTCATTAGTCTGTCTGGATTGCCTTGAATTAGGACTTATCGGAAGACTTGGTCTTCTGCTGGCTGTTAAAATAATTTAGTTGTTGGTGTTAGGGTCTGTTTGGCTAGTTAAAGTGTTTTTTTATTTCGTTTTTCACTTCTATTATGTCTGTTATTGTACTCAGGGGCACAAGGGTCTTTTCCCTTGTTATTTCTGCCGCCCTATATATATTATAATAAAGGTTGGCGCCGCCAGCACTATTACATTTGGATGCTTCCCCAGCAAGAGCTTATAGACAAGTATAGAACTTTTGGGAAAGGAAGATCTTATCTAGAATTCAACCATATTAAACAGTTTGAATTCTTCAAAACTTTTCGGCTCCCATGGATCCTGAAATTGAGTTAATCATTTGGATGTTTCATGAATGCCTCCAGCGATTGACAGAATTATTGAGATCAAATTGTGGCTCAGCAACCTTGAAGCCATCTACAGAAGAAGACAAAGTCTTCCAAGCTCTCTGAGTCTCATATGGATAAACTTCATAGCAAATTCCCAGACCTGGACCCACTTGATCTGGAAGAGATATCTCTTCGTTTCGCGGAAAAGATGAAAGAAAAAAAGTAGGGAAATCTCGAAGGATGTGGAAACAAAAAGAATCTGGTCTCTGAGCCCACACTATGGTCAATTGTTGAAGAAAGTACTATTGAGAGATTCTTTCATATCATCAATAGTAAAAAGTAACCCACTAATGAGAAGGCATCTCCATCTGGTCCTCATAGGACAAAAGAAAAGATAAGAAAGCATCTCAATCATTTAGATGCTTGAAGGAAAAGTCCAAAAGGAATCTTAATCATAGAGGCCTTGAGGATAAGCTCGAATAAAACGGTTCCTTTCTGCCTTTCTCTAGAATCCTCGGCAGCCTCTATAAAAGGAACCCTTCTCCCAGTTCTCAAGTGTGCAATATTTTCATATGCAACAACTTCGAGTACCAAAGACAAGTCCAGTAGTCTTATTGTTTGAGTGTTTTTCTGTTCTCAAGTGTTTTAAGAGTGTTGTATTCCAAGTATTTTCATCCTCTTTCTAGAAGTGAATTATATTTCGTTTTTAATATTGTTTCTATCATTTTTTATCTTCAATATTATATCTGCATAGCATATTGATTCTCCATACCACTTTGCATCACCTCTATATTGATTCTCCATACCACTCTGCATCACCTCTACTGTTCATCTCTATTTTGTTATCAGAGCCAATGATCTCTATTCACCCTCCTTCTCCTAAAGCCCAGACTATGCTCGGTTAAGCCTCGAACCTGTACCGGTGCAGTGTGGGGAACTAGTGACCCTCAGGCATTGGAGGTGTAATTTAGAACAGCATTGGGTTGACTCTAGAACTTTTTTCAGGAAGAACAACATTCTCTAGAACTTTTTTCTGGACCTGTAGGACAAGGTGATTCCACAAGGGCAGAATTACCATCCTTACACCTATCACTAAAATTGATGATGCTTCAAAGATAAAGTAGTAGGAGGTGACTCCCATGTTGTGGTGGGTTGGCTAAGAAGCAATAGGCAAGGTGTGTGGCAGCTTAGATATATCGTAGGGGAAGTGAGGCAAGTAGCAAGGGAACTTAGAGCTCAAGTTCGATGGACTCACAGATCTGTAAACTGTTTGGCGGATATTGGCCAAACAAGGGGTAACAAGAAACAAGTTGTTGTAGGAGGAGAAAAATATGCAAGAAAAATATTCCAGTACTTGGAAAAGAGATACCTGCTGAATGAAGATTAACTTCAAAGGGGAGATCTGTTTGTTGAATTTATCAGGACTGTGAGTGATTAGGGGGGTGGGGGATGGTTGGGCTTTGTAGTATCTTGGGTTGTCAATTTGCATTTTGGTTCATGTGTAGGTTTGGGGAATTTCTGTATGTACAAAGAGGGCCTGGAGGGTTTAGTGGAGTGTGCTTTGGCATTAGTTTGTATGGGTGATAACTTATCACTTTGTTGCATCTCTTTTCGTATCTTTCCTTAATAATTATTTGTTCTTTATTTATTACCAAAAGAAAGAAACAGGTTGTTTTGGGGAAAGAAAAGGTAGGGAAAGGAAGGGAAGGGTAGGGAAACCTATATATAAGCTGACGGGGTGACATTTTGAGGGGTGCTTTACATTTCCATATTTTCATGATACAGTTACCAATGAAAAAAATGATTAATCTCCAAGAAGATAACATTTTATATCATTGGGAATTCTGGTGAAAGTAAATATTCTAAATTTTTATTCTAAGATACCGTCTCCTAGGCCTCTGTTGTCCTGCATTACCACTAAAAGAAGAAAATTTTATGAACCTGTGAAAATTGTTATGTCGTCCAGCTATTGATTTACTGAGATGGACTTATTTCTGCAGTTTTGTCGGAAACCGTGGTTTATGCGGGAAACAAATCAGTGTCACGTGCAAAGATGAGACTGGAGAACCTTCAACAAAACCTCAACCTCCCATTTCAGGTAGGCTTCAATGCAATGAGATGGATAAGATTATTTATTTCTTGCCCAGAATTAATACTATAAATTATTCTGATCCTTTACCAGTATCTTTGAATGGCATGTTGTAAATCCTTTCTACTGTGTTCCCCAGCAGTGGTTTAGAAGCTAAAGTTTATTCTATGGTTGTATGATTAGTAATTTAGAAATTAGAAAAGCAGCCAAGTTCTCTTTGAGCTTTCATGGTTCACAATTGGAACTCTATTAACTTAAAATATTATGATCACTCTTTCACTGCCATATTTTGTATATTCTCTCACTTTCTTTTTCTCCTTTTTTTTTTAATTCTATAGAAGAAAACCAAAATGGAAAGAAGAAATCTGGACGGTACTCTACTAGGCTCCTTATAAGTGCATTGGCAACAGTTGGTGCTTTACTTCTTGTGGCACTTATGTGCTTCTGGGGATGCTTTCTTTATAAGAAGTTTGGTAAAAACGATAGCAAAGGTCTTGTAATGGATGTCAGTGGAGGTATGATACTTTTAGAACTTGCAGGATTTATTGTTATTAGAGTTTGTTGGTAGAATTACTTTTAGTTTCTTGTATATATCTCAGCCATAGCAAGTTCTGTGAAGACAGCTGCAATAATTTTATGATATATTATTGTTCAGGTGCATCAATTGTAATGTTCCATGGAGACTTGCCCTACTCTTCAAAAGATATCATTAAGAAGTTAGAAACTTTGAATGAAGAACATATTATAGGGTCTGGGGGCTTTGGAACAGTGTACAAGCTTGCAATGGATGACGGCAATGTCTTTGCTTTGAAAAGAATTATAAAGACTAATGATGGATTTGATCGGTTTTTTGAAAGGGAGCTTGAAATTCTTGGTAGCATAAAACACCGATACTTAGTGAACTTACGTGGGTATTGCAACTCTCCTTCATCAAAGTTGTTAATTTATGACTTCTTGCCTGGTGGTAGCCTAGATGAGGCTCTTCATGGTAAGAACTCTCATCCTCTTTATTTCTATTGTTAGCTAATTTATTTTATCTATTTATTTCTATTTTTTTTGTATTTCTTTTTTATTGATAACATAATGTCATTTATTCATGTAGTAATGTAAATTTATACAGGAGATGTATGGCAGAAAACAAAAACTCAAGAACCTTGGACTGCATACTATAGTCCCCCATTACACCCATTAATAGTATTCTGGGAAAGTAAACCTAAATTCATCACCTCTCATTGGAGTCCATTCCTAGCTACAAATTTGCTAGGACATCAGCTGATTTTCTAACCCATTGGAGGAGTTATCCATGGTTACCAATGACCTAGCTTCCTTTAATTTTGCCAATATGTCCAAGGGCCTGCCTTCTACCCATTCATCCATTCCACTGTGACCTGCGGATCTCCTTCAACTTTAACCTCTAAAATCCAAGAGACCTTGCTAATCTGAGTCATTGTATTAAAGAGAACAGCTCATCTCTGATGGTTCTCCCCACTCAATCTAGTGAGAGTTCGAATAAACAGGAAGGATTTCACCTCCATGATTCCTCAAATCCAATTGATGCTTTCAGGAATGGGATATAATCACTTTTAAATAGGAATACTCTTCCTCTTCAAGCTGATGTAGATCCCAGTCAAGATTAGCAGCAAGAGAGAAATAGAACTCTAATGGAGTTCATCTTGGCAACGGATGCAAAAGTCTTTGCATAATCAACTCCGTACACTTGTGTAAACCCCTTTGCCATTAAATGAGCTTTATACCTCTTCACTGTGCCATTAGCCCTATGTTTGACTGTGAACACCCATTTACATCCAACTGGATCATTTCCCTTAGGAAGATCTACAAGTTCCCATGTGCCATTTTTATGAAGAGCATTAATTTCTTCCTTCATAGCATCTGTCCATTCAGGTACTAAAAGAGTTTCTGCCACATTCTTAGGGATAGGGACATTTTCAATGGATGTGAGAAAGGCTCAAAAAGAGGGTGAAATGTTTTCATAGGAAACAAAGTGGGAAATGGGGTGTTCAGTGGTGCACGATCTAACACCTTTCCTGTGAGCAATAGGAAGGTCAAGGTCATTAGCAACAAAGGTATCAATTGCAATGGGGTCAGGGACATCAATGGGAACCAAGATACCTGAGTGAGTATGATCCGCCCCCGAAGAGTTTAATGGCATTGGAGGTACAGCTTCTGGATTCTCTAAAGCTCTTGAATTTGGTTGGCCTTTGTGACGATGGAAGAAGACACGAAAAGGAGGAGGATCAGGAAGAGGAGGGAGCTGAACCAGTTTCTCCTCATTCCTACTCTTCCCCTAAGGAGAAACAGGGAAAAAAGGCTCACTCTCAAAGAAAGAGACATCCATGGAAACATAGAATTTTCGAGAAACAGGATCAAAACAACAGTAACCCTTCTGAGTGAAGGAGTACCCCAAGAATATGCAAGGAATAGCACGAGGATCCAATTTTCCATGAGTGGGTGACATATTTTGGACAAAGCAATGACAACCAAACACACGAAGAGGAATGGGAAGAAGGGGGGCCTTAGGAAAGAGAAGCTGATGTGGGGCTTTGCACTCTAACCAACGAGAGGGCATACGGTTGATGTGGTAAGTAGCACAAAGGACAGCCTCAAGCCAAAAGCGTTTTGGGACATTCATATAGAGTAGTAAACCCTGGGCCATTTCAAGGAGGTGTCGATTCTTTCTTTCAGCAACACCATTTTGTTGTGGTGTTTGGGCACAAGAGCTACGGTGAAGTGAACCACGTGAAGCAAAAAATTCCGTGAGATCACTATGAAAATATTCTTCGGCATTATCTGACTGAAAAATTTGGATTTCAGTTTGAAATTGGGTGAAGACCATCCGCTGAAAATCTTGGATAAYTTTTGGTACYTCWTCCCTRGTYYRCRTGGGATATACCCATGTATATCTAGAATAATCATCGATAATGGTAATAAAATACTTGTAGCCACTCTCAAATGGTAAAGTAACAGGGCCCCACACATCATAATGAACAATGTGAAACGGATATTCAGATTTATTATTTTTTGAAAGAAAATGAGTTCTACACTACTTGCTCAATTGACAAGTTTGACAAGAGAAATCTGAAACGGACATTGACTTAAACAATTCTGAAACACCACTTTCAAAAACTCAAAAGATAAATGACCAAGACGGCAATGCCATAAATAAACTTGACTCTTACAGGACTGACTCTTAGACTCTGTGACTTGAAGTCCACCAACCATACATCCTCTACCAACATGTAAAGTCCACCAACCATACATCCTCTACCAATCATCCTCCCCAAGGCCAGATCCTGGATCACACAGTAAGAAGGGAAAAAGGTCACTGAGCAGTTTAAGGAATTAGTAATATTACTAACAGAGAACAAATTAATGGGAAATTTTGGAACATGTAAAACATCAGAGAGGGTAAGGTCGAGAGGGAGAGAAATGGTTCCTTGACCAGCTATGATAGTGTATGATCCATCAGCTAGTCTCACCTTGTCTCTTCCAGAAAGAAGGTGATAGGTTTGAAAGTAAGAGGACGTACCAGTCATGTGTTTTGACGCTCCAAAATCAATGAATCAGGGAGTGTCAGGGTTATGAGAAGCAGCATGGAAAGTTGTGGCAGAGTTACCTGATGTAGACGCAAATGAAGTTGAGGGAGGAGTGTCTGAGTCAAAGTTGTGGCAGAGTTACCTTGTTGTCCTGACTTTTTATTCATATCTGAACCTTGCTTCTTATTCAGATCTTGAGCCCATTCCGGCTTCCCATGAAGATCTCAGCATGTGTCTCAGGTGTGTCGGGGTTTCTAGCAATGAGTACACCACAATTTGTTCCTGTCATCCATCTTTTTCTGAAGATCCCCCTTCTTAGAAGTATTTCCCCCACCGGTAGTAACACTCCCTTTCGTTGCCAACACAACTGCATCTCCTGCAAAACTGTTCATCAAATTCCTTCTCCTTTCTTCTGGTTGTACAAGAGCATAAACTTCCTGAACTGATGGAAGATCCTTGCTACCTAGGGTCTAGACTCTGATAAATTCATATGTAGGGTTCAAACCATGTAAGAAAGCAAACACTCTCTGTTGGGAGACAAGTTTTTTGTACAGTTTTGCATCTTCATCACACTTCCAATCCACACTCTGATAATGATCTAACTCCTTCCAAATAGAGGTCAAGTCTGAGTAGTACACAGATAGACACCTCTTCCCCTGTTTACAAGTAGACGATTCTGCCTATAGCTGGTAGATTTTTGCATAGCGTCGCAGTTCCGAATATGTTGATTTTGCTTGTTCCCAGATCTCATTTGTCGTTTCAGCCCACATGAAATTCCTTCTTATTTGAGGTTGCATAGAAACTAAAAGCCAAGACATAACCATTGCTGTTTTTCTGGTTCCATCTGTCATATTCAGCACTCCCAGAATGTGGTTCTGTGATTCTCCCATTAATATAACCTATCTTTCCCCTTGCAGTGATGTACAGCTTGATCCCTCTTGACCACTCTAAATAATTTAAACCATCAAGAGGAATAGTAGCCATGGGAAAGGATAGATTCGCACCCCCACTCATTCCATTCAGCATTGAGGAAACACCGGATGTAGCAGAATCTTCACCACTCATGGTTTCAGATTCAAAAACAACTCTTAAATGGGGTACACAGCCTTAAAGAAATTCAACACTGAGGGAGAACGAAAAAAAAAATTCTTCAGAAACACACCTCCTTTTGTAAAAACACAGGTGCTGTTACAGCACTAACAGGYCATCCCTTGACTTACAAGCTCAACACAAGTGTTGCCACAGTGCATACAGGTCATCTCTTGACCTACGCATCAACAGGACTGCTGTTACAGCAAGTACTGGTCACTTTCTGACCTTCAGTTCACCATAAAAGCTGTTGTTGCAGCACACAAGAGGTACTGGTCACTTTCTGACCCTCCGTTCACCATAAAAGCTGCTGTTGCAGCACACAAAAGGTCCTCACGACCTACAGTTTCACAGGGATCAGTCGACCCCACAGAAAAGGAAAGAAAGAGGTGCTGATCACCTCACATCCAATCGGCAGACCTAGTACAGGTTCTGCCCTGGCACACGACCAAAAAAAAAGGTAAGAGAGAGAGAGAGAGAGAAAAGTTACTTCAGTGTGTGAGATCTTCAATCAGCCGAACAGCAGTTGAGGGTGGCAGATCTGGAAATCTGGTGCAAAGAAGAAAAAAAACTGTTCACTCGACTTCTCCTTTCAGATCTGATAGTTTCACTCTGATACCATGTTATGCAGGAGAGAAGAATGGAAGAAGAGAGAAAAAGAGAGAGAAGAATAAGAGAGAAGAGAGAACTGAGCAAAAGATACTGCTGGTGGCGCAGATTTTTTTAATATATATACTAGGGTGACAGCAACTAAAATAAAAGAGTAAAAGTACAATAGTACCCCTGCGGTACTATACATAGGAAAAAATAACAGTTGTTAACAAACTCCAAGGTGCTTACCCAATATGCAATTTTAATTGTAATAAGGACAATCACTAATTCTCCTCTCCTGTTTGTGAGAAAATATCATTGCATTTATCTCCTCCCTACTGACTTAATATTGCTATCCCCAAGCTCCACAGAACCTTCCCTTTCTTTGTGGGAATTGAGTCAAATATTTTATCTATTTATCCTTATTACTTATTTTTCCTTTATAGTCATTGTTAGTGAGGATCATGGAAATTATAAATGTATTAGCACATTAGGTGTTACTTTAATCTATTATATGGTTTTTCCAAATTTGAATGCATTAAGGTAAGCATCTTAATTTTTAGCTTGCTTTTATGTGTTGCAATCAGTTACAAGGAATTTGTATTAAGCATGCAGAGAATCTCAAATACAAGGGGAAAAGTATCCCTTTATTTAGAAAAGAGAATCAGTAGTCTCTATATAGTAGCATTGTTATTATTGATGATGAGAACCAATGCATTTTATTTTATGATACAATTTTGATCTGTGCCTTTCCGGGTTTAGACCAACCTTTATGGTACCTTGTTCCACATCTCATGCAAAGATACTTTGAATAAAATACTTGAGCAAATAAATACAAGTGATTAATGAAATATCAAACATAATTAGAATTTTGATACTTTGAAATATCAAACAAATTCAAGTCAGGATTCAAGAGTGTGAAAGTGGAATAAATCAGGAGAGTTCTCAGTTAAATCCTTCTACAGTTCTTTTGTAGAAGTAAATCAAGTTCCTTTTCCTAGCCGGGCCATTTGGGGAACAGTGGCACCCTCTAAAATCAATTTTTTTGTTTGGGTGGCAGCTTTAGAGAAATGCCTCACAAAAGAGATGCTGCTCAAGAAAGGTTTTGTGTGCATTGACTTGAGCTGCAGTTTTTGCAGTGTGGAGATGGAATCAGTTAACCATCTGTTTCTACATTGCAAGTTTGTAATAGTGATTTGGAACTATTTTCTAAAGAGCTTAAAGGTAAGATGGAGTATGCCTGCCTCAGTTAGAACATGCTTGGAGGCTTGGCACATATCTGGGATGACAAAGAAAGAGAAATCATGCTGGTCCTCATTTCTTTTGGCTATTTTGTGGGCAGTGTGCTGAAAGGAACAGTAGGACTTTTGATCAGAAAGCCTCCTTTGAAGCTGAGGTCATTAACAGGGCTATAGAGCTTCTCAGGAGCTGGTTGTCTATACACAGGCTTTAAGAGGATACAACTGACACAGGTTTTAAAGAGGATACAACTGATTGTACTTTTTTGAGGGTGGCTTTTTTTGAGGTCCTTTTTGTTGCAGTTTTTGTACAGCTTCTCATTGTAGAAAGGACCGGTTGATTAATACAATTATACTTTACCTTTTTTCTAAAAAAACATTATTAGAATTTTCAAGTTCTGCTACTTGGAAAATTTTGGAGCTTAAAATGTTACAATTCTAGGAACTGAATTCTTTTATGACTCTTGTTCTATGTTTATGACATCTTCCTTGGCTGAATTGAGGGTTTTCATTTTTATTTTACTGCTGAGGCACCAAGAAATATGTGCCTCTTTTCTTTTTGTCAGAAATTTAGACAAGGATGATGAGATGGTTGCTATTGACAACCCCAGAATGTCTTTGGATGGATGGGTTGAAAATGAAGTGGTTAGAAGAGCCTGGGGTAGACCGAAAAGGACATGTCTAGAAGTAGTAAGAAATGATTTAAGCACTATTAATTTAACAGTGAGTGTGGCTTTAAATAGAACAGATTGGTGAAACAGGATTCATGTAGCTGACCCCATATAGTTGGGATAAGGCATGGATGATGATGATGATGGATGGATTGAAAATGCCAAAAACAAAAATCCATGTTTCTAATAATCATTTCAAGTTAAATATATAGTTGTATTACTAATAATATTTCTATTGTGCACTATCTGATTTTTATGATATGTTGTTAGAAGATCTCAATTTATAGATTTTTGATAGAGTGGAATGGTAAAACAGGATCCATAATTGATTCCATTTAGTTTGAGATAAGCCTCTGCTTGGTTGAGTTAACAATTGGGCGTTATGTTGTTAAAATCCAAACAATGGAATGAGTACCAATTTATGATATCATTAGTCGATTACTCATAGACTTAGAAATTAATTCAGTTTCTTTSTTTCTTTTTCTTTTACCTTCCTAATGGAAACTTCTCTTCTAATTAATTGTGCCTTGTATGTTTGGCATTTCTTTGCCTGAACATATTATTTTACT